CCAGAACCCTCTAAACGGCCAAACATTATTCTAGCGCTCTAAATAGAACTGCAGCGTTTAGCTCCAGTCTGTACTGGATAACCGATGCCCTGCTAATGATTTAGAAATGCTTGTAATTAGCGCAAGAACACTGATGGGTCATGACTTTGCAATCACAAAATGTCATCGAGTCATTTCATTAAGGATCTTGATCGAAACATGAAAGAAACTAAATCGCAAAAATCGCAAAAAATCGCACTTGAAGATCAGTACCTCTCTGTCTAGCAAGTTATGCAAAAAGATGACCTTAGAATCTTGGGTAACACTTTAGTTTACGTACCAATTCCTACTGCTAACAATATTCAAAACTATAACAATGTTTTGAGTTAAAATCAACGTCAAATAAGTGAACATTCATTCATTCATTAATTTTCTTTTTGGCTTAGTCCCTTATTAGGGGTCACCACAGAGGAATGAACTGCCAATTTATCTAGCATATGTTTTATGCAGCGGATGCCCATCTAGCTGCAACCCATCACTAGGAAACACCCATACACACTCAATCACAATTACATACCCAATCACATAGAGTACGGCCAATTTAGCTTACCCAATTCACTTGTACTGCATGTCTTTGGACTTGTGGGGGAAACCGGAGCACCCGGAGGAAACACGTGCCAACATGGGGAGAACATGCAAACTCCACACAGAAATGCCAACTGATCCAGCCGAGGCTCGAACCGGCGACCTACTTGCTGTGAGGCAATCATGTTACCCGATCGTCACAATATTTTCAGAGTTAAATTAACACTCTTAAGAGAGTTACCTGTACCACACTGTAAATGAGTTATATTTACACTGTATAGAGTTAAAAAATAACTCTGGTCTACTCTCCTGGGAGTTGATTGTTCTCCGACTCTAGTGTAAAAAGTGAAAATTTAACACTTTAACAGAGAGAATTTAACTCTAGTCTACCTAGTAAACATTATAATTCTCCCGATTGATAGTTACTTACATAGGACAATTCTCCAAGAATGAAAAATCACAATTATGTTATTAATCATTTTTATCAACAAAAAGATATTAACACTGGACAGCCATCATCACAAACTTACACTTTTTTACAAATTAACACTTTTTAAGACTTTAAAAATGGCATGACTTTCATGTTCTATTAAGGTGTTGGGTCAAGTGAATGTTGGAAATAACACCATCAAGTGTTGAATACCTGTAACTCTTTGATTTTACACTGGATCAAAGCAGCTTTGGACTCTCATTAATTAATTCGTTTCTTTTCGGCTTGGTCCCTTTATTAATTTGGGGTCACTACAGCGGAATGAACCGCCAACTTATCCGGCATATGTTTTACACAGCAGATGCCTTTCCAGCCGCAACCCATCTCTGGGTAACATCCATACAAACTCATTGACAATACTGACAATTTTCCCTACCCAATTCACCTCAGTCTTTGAACTGTGCCGGAGCACCCGGAGGAAACCCTTGCGAACATGGGGAGAACATGCAAACTCCACACAGAAACGCCAACTGACCCAGCCAAGACTCGAACCAGCAACCTTCTTGCTGTGAGGTGACAGCACCACCTACTACGCCACTGCGTTGCCAGCTTTGGACTCTGATTGTGTTCATTTATCAAAATCTAACTCTGTAATTTTAACACTTTACACTTTACTTAATTGGGTAAGCTAAATTTTTCATAGTGTATGTTTGTGAATGAGTGTTAGGTTGCAGCTGGAAGGCCATCTGCTGTAAAACATATGCCGGATAAGTTGGCGGTTCATTCCGCTGTGGCATCCACAGATTAATAAAGGGACTAAGCCTTTACCTAAATGAGAGTAAACTCATTGCCTTATAATTATTAAGGTTAGGTTAATACGTTTACTGACTTTATTTAAGTAAAATCAACTTGTTGCTTTAAAAGCAACAGGTTTACTCGCTTTTTTTAAAGTAAAGTATCTAATTGCTTTTTACAGTATACGCAATACCTAAACCCATCGACTTCCTTAATATTAAAAAGCAGCGCATTAATACTTTACTGATCTGAAAGTCTTAGTTAATGGTTTGTTAATATAGCAGGAATTATACCTTACAATAAAGAGTGACCGAAACATGTTTTCATTCAACAAGAGGATATGAAGAGGAAATTAATATCTGTCCTCCTCCTCCAGAACAAAACACAGCCTGAGAATGGGTTTTCTCAGGGTGCCCACCTGGAGACCGAAAATATTCATGGTACTTCTTTCTGGAACGTCGCTTTTTCCCGATTCTAAGTGCAGCCCCTATGTAAGGAAAGTCTTTTTGAAACACTGGTTGCATACGGGCATCATTACATCCGACTAGCAGAAAGAAAGCGGAGATCTCATCTGAGATGTGGGAGCTTAATAACCACTATAAGTAAAAGCATCAAAGGAAGATGGCTCAGAAAACCTTACTTTTTATTACTACAAACTTACAAAAAAAGTAGAATAGTGAAAACGTCATTGAAAGTTTGTATAAAGATCAATTCCAACTATTTAACTTTGAAAATGTAGCACTAAAATGACACTAAATAGAAATAAATAATAGAATACTCTTTATTTTTCTGTGATATATATTGTGATATGCATAGTTTCACAAGATTGCTTGAATAGCTCAATTTGATGGTTTTTTGGGGGAGTCTAACAGTGTTCAGGAAATCGAATCATCTCAATCATGTTTTGTCTTGTTTTTAGTCCAAATATCTAAAATAAAACCTAAAAAAAAAATAAATAAAAAAATTTAATCAAATCAAATTCTGGAGAAATAAGGCAGAAGAGTTTTTCCTTAAAACAAGCTAACTTATCTACCAGTGGAGTAAAATAATCTTGTTTTTGCTTTAAAACATACAAATAAATTTAAAAGCGCTATATAAATTAATTGTTATATTATAAATATATGTTTTTTTGGGGAAGTCTAACAGTGTTCAGGTTCAGAAATTGAATCATCTCTATCATGCTTGTCTTGTTTCTAGTCCACATGTCTAAAAAAAAAAAAATCTAACAAGCAAAATTATCTGCCAGTGGAGTAAAAAAATCTTGTTTTTGCTTTAAAAAGTACATAAAAATTTAAAAACGATATGAATACAGTTTCACAAGATAGCTTGAATAGCACTATAGACGTTTTCTGGTTCTCTGAGTTAAAGTGTTCAGGTACCGATATTGAATCCCCTCAATGCAAAAAAATGCTTTTCTTACTTTGTTTTGTCTAGTTTCAAGTCCAAATATCTAAAAAAAAAAAAAAAAAAAAAAAAACATCTAAAAAAGATCAAGTAAGAATACTGTTTTGTTTTAAATCCAGTAGAAATAAGGCACAATTAAAAGTTTTTCCTTATTGGAGTAATGGAGTAAAATAATCTTGTTTTTGATTTAAAATGCACTCATTTGAACCAGAAACAAGACAAAAAAATCTAAGTGAGAAAATCTTTTCATATTAATTCTGTATAAATAAAGTAATTAAACAATTCTTTAGCTGCTGGTCAACAATAATTCAGACTCAACATTGCATATCTAGTGAAGTGACTACTGCAAATCCACACATACCATATTGATGCTAAAACAATATTGTGCAGCTCTTGAATACACACAAATATACAGTTGAAGTCAGAATTATTAGCCCCCTTTTGATTTTGTTTTCGTTTTTAAATATTTCCCAAATTATGTTTAACAGAGCAAAAAAATGTTCACAGTAGGCTATGTCTGATAAAGTTTTATTTCAGCTAGAATAAAAGCAGTTGTGTAATTTTTTAAAAAACATTTTAAGGTCAAAATTTTTAGCCCCCTTAAGCGATATATTTTTTCTATCGTCTACAAAACAAACTTTCGTTATTCAATAACTTGCCTAATTACCCTAACCAGCCAAGTTAGCCTAATTAACCTAGTCAAGCCTTTAAATGTCACTTTAAGCTGTATAGAAGTGTCTTAGAACATATCTAGTAAAATATTATGTACTGTCATCTTGACAAAGATAAAATAAATCAGTTTCTAGAAATTAGTTATTAAAACTATTATGATTAGAAATGTGTTGAGTTTTTTTTCTCTCCGTTAATGAGAAATTGGGGAAAAATAAACAGGGGGCTTATAATTCTGACTTTAAATGTATATTTAAAAAAAGAGGTTTAAGACAAGTCTTAATAAAGATCAACAAATGCAGCGACTGCAAAACTGAATAAGTTATTTCACACACACACATACAGACCCACATACAGAGTCAGTGAGACAACTTAACATGAATAAACTGATTATTTAAATTAAGTTCCAATGCTAAACATCACATTTAATCATTAGTTACAATTATTATGACATCAGTCTACTCTAAAACTATGTGTGCAGTGCAAAATAACTCATGTTTTGAAAACATTACAGCTACTGTCAAGATACTGAAACATTACGTTTCTACTCGTCTGCTAACTCTGATATCACTTAAGGCTAAAAATTCTTCTGAAGAAGGGGAGTAATACACACTCAACATGGCACTTGAAAACCAAACCTAAAATACAACCGAAAGAGCAAAACTGAAAACTTTAACCACAGCAGAACATTTTAAGCACAACCCCAGTTGTATATCTCCAATATTACTGCGGTTATGAACTCTAAACATTGTTTTATCTGTAACCAACCAGTGCGACAGGAAACAAATTAGACAGCTCCAACTGCGCAAAGCAAGACTTTGTTGTGTAGTGATTACGATTCGACGATAAGCATACGTTTATCCCATCAGCACTGTTGTTTATTCTAAAACGATCATCAAAAAATGAGAGCCAACAGGTGGATTATACGTGACCGAGTTGAACATTCCAGCCCAGACAAAAATAAGACATGATGATAAAAGTTGACACTGCTGTCCTACAGTAGCTCATCCTCTATGTCTTTCACACATCCCATAAAAAAACCACAACATAACTGCATAGCAATCTCCAGCTAAATGCATGGTTTGGTAAAAAGCTGTGAATGTGCTGAAAAATTAAAACGTTCATTCATTACACTTGCCTTTTCCTGGAAATCACTTTTTAAAACCTTTTTTTTTTTTTTATTGTGCTGGTGTCTTGAGACGATCTTTCAGTCTCTCCCGAGCAGAAAAGCATGAGGGCTTTGTTACCCAGCAGTCATGTTGTCCTAACCTCTCTGATCGCACAAAAGCCACTCACATGCCACATGTAGGCATCCATTTACGCCTCTTTAGAAGCGGAACATCAAAAGAGTCATTACGCCCACGGGAGGAACAATACACAGATACAAAACTCTATCAGCTCGTGGGATCATAAACATCAGTATACAAATAAACAACACAAAAAAGTAATCATCTCCAAAAGCATATAGAGTTAACAAGAATGCATGCAATATAGAAGAAATCGTCAACCAAAATTAAATATATTCTGAAGAATTCTTGAGTATTTTGAGCTGTTTAACATGCAAATGGGTTTATTTAAATTCTAAGACTTATTAACTCTTGGGATATATATTTAAATAATTGAAATAATATAAAAATATGAGTTTTTGTCCCTGAAAAAAAATGATTCAGAGATGATTCTTGGACTTACAAACAATTTTAAGTCAAGTGGCTGTAAACAATTTATTTGGGCTGCGTTTAAACAAATAAATTAAGCACTGCTAACTTAATTTGTTTATTTAAATTCAGCCCAAATAAATTGTTTGCAACAATTTTAAGACATTTTTGTCAGTCTATGTTTTAAGACACGAATCAGTGCATTCAAAGTGCAAGTGATGTTTGTTCAAACTACTTATTCAAAATAAGGTAAAACAACACAATTCTTGGGTTTTTTGGGGGGTGACCTAATTATTTTAATTTCAATCCACTTAAATGTGTAAAAACTAAGTTAACTTAATTGCTTTATGTTGTCCAAATACAAAACTTAGCAATTTTACAGTGTATTTAAAATAAAATAAGCATGTCTATCAAATGTGGCTAAGGCTAAATCTAAACGTTTTATCTCTAAATACTAATAACTAGTGTGTAATAATGAGATCAAATGCTCATTTTAGATCATTTAAAATGCAACATTAAAACCTTCATTGCATTCAATGTTCTATTTTTGTTATAACTTTCATTATTTCTAGAACTATTTAATTTCCAGTAGAAAAAAATCAAAAGAAACTCTTCTGTCTCACAGGTATCTCATTTCAAAGAGCTGAGTGTTTGGGGTCTCGCTAACACATATTGTCGGGTTTGTTTTCATCACAAAAAAATGTCTATAATCAAGTTCCAACAGCGCTAAAGTAATCATCATCACTTCATCTTAATAAACACATACGATTAAAAATCCATGGGGTGGATGTCAACTAAGACACTTCAAATGAGTGCTACTAAAATGAATATTATGTTTTGACTGATTATTTAATCTGTTGTCTTTGCATTCAACACCTAAATTTACTATAGGAGCTTACGATCACACTAACAACACAAAACACTCTCAATTTTAAATAGTTTAATCTTTATATGGTTTCTGACATGACTCTATAAGCCCCTTAGGCCAACAAGAACATCATGTTTTGTTCTTAGGGTTAGATTTATGATTAAAAACACTGTCAGGAAAAATAAACAATACATCAAATCCACTCAGAAAAAAAGTGTAATGGCTTTTTTTTATAAGGCTGATTTTTTTTTTTTTATGCTAACCACTTTTTTTTATGTTTTATACTGTAGAAACTTTTATTCAGCACACTTTTACACTCCAAGGAAAATTATCACATATTATACACTTACTCTGTAAAACTTCACCCTGAAGCCTACACTCAATATATATATATATATATATATATATATATATATATATATATATATATATATATATATATATATATATATATATTCGCCCCTTCAAACTTATTTAAAATGAGCTGAAATAACATAATTCTTGAGATTTCATAGGGACAACTTAATTTTTTATGTTCAAGCCACATAAATTTGTTAAAAGTGTCAAGTTATCAATTTGTGCTGGGACAACGTGAATGAATTGTGTGGAACCCTGCATTTTTTAGTGTAGTTTCTACACTTCAAACACTTTAAAACTAATGAAAAGTCAACTTTCTGCAATAAAAAAACTTTAATAAACTTTTTTTTTCATAAACTGATAGACTAAAAATCGTTAAAACATTATAAAATAACATTATAAATATATTTAAAGTCGTTAAACTCTACACACTTCTCTTCTTACGCCCTGTAACAATCGAAATGTTTTGATTTGTTTTTATATTTTTGGGAGGAAAGTTATTGTTTTATGCAAGCAAAACAAAACTATTCATTTGTTTACACCTTACATTTTGACATTTAGACGGGTTACAAGTAAGTAGAGTAAATTACAAACCTCAAATCTAAAAGTTCTGCTATCTTCAGTATGACGGTACAACGATTTCCATACATTCCAGAACAAAACAAAAGTGATTTACACTTTCTCCTCAGCTATGGTGTTTGCAGACCGCTGCGTCTCGCGAAGAATAAATAAAGAGAATACATGAACTCTTCACACTGTTCAGCGGAAGAATCTTTTCCCTTGGCATGTCTGCGAACACTCTCCGAAGTTTCTTACCTTTCACAGGAGGGCAAAAGCTGCGGGCAGCCGGACACACTAGCAGCGAAACACATTCTCCCGATGGCAGATCCGTACGGGGCCCTCCATTAGACGCGGGCTCAAAGTGCAAAACAACGGGGAAAAGAGGAAAGATATGCCGCTTTGCTCGCTCTCTGTTCCAGGCGCGCAGACGCGTGAACGCCGCGGAGTCAAAGTACGTACTCAAGCCTTCAGTTCCCCGTGAAGTTCGTAGTAAGTGAACCCTACTCGTCTAACTGTTTCACTCTTTTTTCCCTGCACACGTTCACTCTCTCTCTCTCTCTCCCACACACACACTCTCTCTCTCTCTCTCTCTCTCTCTCTCTCTCTCTCTCTCTCTCTCTCTCTCTCTCTCTACTACTACTACTACTGTCTTTTTCTACACACTCGGAGAGAGAGAGAGGATCATATTGCTCAGCAGCTCGTCAGAGCAGGAATGTTCCAGCCTTTCAGCAGCAGGGCAGAGCTTCAGTATGCAGGGGGTTGCCCTACTGACTGTGTGCGTGTGTGTGTGTGTGTGTGTGAATGAATATTACCAACATGCCAGCCGCCTGCACCCCTATCACCCCAATCATTCTGTTTTTGTATCTGACTCAAATTCTGTTCACATCAGTATGGATTTAGTTACACTCATCTATCTATCTATCTATCTATCTATCTATCTATCTATCTATCTATCTATCTATCTATCTATCTATCTATCTATCTATCTATCTATCTATCCATCTATCTATCTATCTATCTATCTATCTATCTATCTATCTATCTATCTATCTATCTATCTATCTATCTATCTATCTATCTATCTATCTATCTATCTATCTAATCTATTTATCCCTGTAAAATTGATTAGTTGATCTTACTTAAAAAAGAAAGTAATCGCATAGCCTTATAATTAAGTAAACAAACTATGCATACTTATAACAGTTAAATGAAGTAAATTGGTTTACTGGGTTTTAAACTAACTTTAAAGTGAATTTTAAGTAAAATCTATCTATCTATCTATCTATCTATCTATCTATCTATCTATCTATCTATCTATCTATCTATCTATCTATCTATCTATCTACACTGTAAAACTGTAAAAGTGATTAGTTGATTACTTAAAAAAAAAGAAAGTAAACTTGTTGCCTTATAAATAAATAAAAAATCAAAGAAATCCAAATAATGTATTTGTATTTATCATGTTTCAATTTTAAAGTTCACCAATACATTTTTTAAATCTTGTATGCTTAATATAATTCGAATCATTAGTTTGTGCATTGTTTTGCATAAATAGTCATTATTTATAACTATGTACCAATTATTATAATTACACTATAATGAATTATAAGACCTTACTCTTATCACACTGTAAAAAGTCAATTATGATAGATAGATAGATAGATAGATAGATAGATAGATAGATAGATAGATAGATAGATAGATAGATAGATAGATAGATAGATAGATAGATAGATAGATAGATAGATAGATATCTAGAGATATAAAAATCTCTTTAACAGTGAGAAACATTTGTCCAAAAGTTCAGATTTTGTACAAAAAAAGTATAACGAAAAACGCAGCTTGCATCAAAAAGTTTTAAAGTGATCGTTTAAATCTTTCAGTGGATAAATGAATTGAATTCAACTTTTCCCCCATTGCTCTAAATCTTAAAAAGGTGGATTTTCCTCAGCGTTTCTGAGACAGATGTTGCTCCGGTTGGCAGGTGGTGTCCCTGTTTGCATGCCTCCATAATCCTCAGCAACGGAGTTTTCAGGAAGAATGTGATATATTTGCACAGAGCACATTCCTCAGTCATTCACTGACAAGGACAGCTACAAAAAAAAAGGATAGAGTTTTAAAAGACGATTGGTGTTTCTGCTTTTGAAGTACTTTGTGTCTTCTTTGAGTAGCTTCATTCTGTGGCTCATTTTTGATTGGATGCAGCTTATGTTGTTTGGCCAGGGCTATTTCCTCAACACTTGTGTATGTGTGTGTGTGTGTGGAGAAATTTAGGTGTGGAAGAAATGTCTGACTGGTTAATGTGCGAGTGTGCAAGGCCAGAGCGTGTGTGAAGCAGTCAACTGTTCTGTGTTTGGGCATGTGTAAATAACATAATCATCTTTTCGCATGTAATCATTGGACTGGGCTGGTGATGTGACGGCCCACCCGGACCGGAGGACAGCAGGTGCTGCTGGCTCTTTGACAGCCCGTTCCAGTGGAAGTTGTGATTCAGTTTCTCCCAGGTATGAAGAGTATATTCCTGATGCCACAGAGAGAGAGAGAGAGAGAGAGAGAGAGAAGCTGCTAGAGAGTGGAGTTGCTCTTATCTGACAGCTGCTGCTTTCTCTTCTGCTTCTGCCAACATGCCCTCAATAGGTGCTCCTCATTTCCCTCTTTTGATTTTAATTGGAAACAGATTTACAGCTGTTCTGAATATAAAAACACTGTGAAATAATCAAAAGCTTACATTTTTAGCAATTTTGCCTCACTATCATTATTGCTAATAATATTAAGGCCAGTATTACAGTTTGGCACATGATTGGTCACAACATGACTATACACAGACACATAAGTTAACATTTAAAGTG